ATTCTGGGAGATACATTCAAGTTGAGATTTGGATAGGGACACAGCCAAACCTTATTGTTCTGCCCCAGCCCCTCCAAATCTCATGTCCTCACATTTCAAAACCAATCATGCCATCCCAACAGTCCCTCAAAGTCTTATTTCAGCATTAACCCAAAGGTCCACAGTCCAGAGTCTCATCTGAGACAAGGCAAGTCCCTTTCACCTATGAGCCTATAAAATCAAAAGTGAGCTAGTTACTTCCTAGGTACAATGGTGGTACAGGTATTGGGTAAATTCCAACTGGGAGAAATTGGCCAAAACAAAGGGGTTACAGGGCCCATGCAAGTTCAAAATCCAGCAGGGCAGTCAAATTTTAAAGCTCCAAAATCATCCCCTTTGACTCCAGGTCTCACATCCAGGTCACGTTGATGTAAGAGGTGGTTCCCATGGTCTTGGGCAGCACCAGTCCTGTGGCTTTGCAGGGTGCAGCTGCTTTCACAGTCTGGCATTGAGTGTCTGCAGCTTGTCCAGGCACATGGTCCAGGCACAAGCTGTCGGTGGATCTACCATTCTGGGGTCTGGAGGACAGTGGCCCTCTTCTTACAGCTCCACTAGGCAGCTCCCCAGTAGGCACTCTATGTGGGGGCTCTAACCCCACATTTCCCTTCCACACTGCCCTAGCAGAGGTTCTCCATGAGGGCCCTGCCCCTGCAGCAAACTTTTGCCTGGGCATCCAGATGTTTCCATATATCCTGTGAAATCTAGGCAGAGGTTCCCAAACCTCAATTCTTGACTTCTGTGCACCCACAGGCTCATCACCGTGTGGAAGCTGCCAAGGCTTAGAGCTTCCACCCTCTGAAGCCACAGCCTGAGCTTTACATTGGCCCCTTTCAGTTACAGCTGGAGCAGCTGGGACATAGGACACCAAGTCCCTAGGCTGCACATAGCAGTGGGACCCTGGACCCGTCCCACAAAACCACTGTTTTCCTTCTAGACCTCTGGGCCTGTGATGGGAGGGGCTCCCATGAAGACCTCTGACATGCCCTGGAGATATTTTCCCCATTGTCTTGGGGATTAGCATTTGGCTCCTCATTACTTATGCAAATTTCTGCAGCTGGCTTGGATTTCTCCTCAGAAAATGAAATTTTCTATTGCATTGTCAGGCTACAAATTTTCCAAACTCTTATGCTCTTCTTCCCTTGTAAAACTGAATGCCTTTAATAGCACCCAAGTCACCTCTTGAATGCTTTGCTGCTTAGAACTTTCTTCCGCCAGATACCCTCAAGTTCAAAGTTTCACAGATCTCTAGGGCAAGAACAAAATGCCGGCAGTCTCTTTGGTAAAACATAACAAGAGTCACCTTTGCTGGAGTTCCCAACAAGTTCCTTATCTCCATCTGAGACCACCTCAGCCTGGACCTTATTGTTCATATCACCATCAGCATTTTTGTCAAAGCCATTCAACAAGTCTCTAGGAACTTCCAAACTTTCTCACATTTTCCTGTCTTCTGAGCCTTTCAAAATATTCCAACCTCTGCCTGTTACCCAGTTCCAAAGTTGCTTTCACATTTTCTGGTATCTTTTCAGCAATACCCCCACTCACTGGTACCAATTTACTAATATTAGTCCATTTTCACACTGCTGATAAAGATGTATCCAAGACTGGGAGGAAAAAGAGATTTAATTGGACTTACAGATCCACATGACTGGGGAGGCCTCAGAATCATGGTGGGAGGCAAAAAGCACTTCTTACATGGTGGCAGCAAAAGAAAATGAGAAGGATGCAACAGTGGAAACTCCTGATAAACCCATCAGATCTTGTGAGACTGATTTACTATCGTGAGAATAGTACGCGAAAGACTGGCCTCCATGATTCAATTACTTCCCCCTGGGTCCCTCCCACAACACATGGGAATTCTAGGAGATACAATGCAAGTTGAGATTGGGGTGGGGACATAGCCAAACCATATCAGCTTCCTTTCCCAGGCCGCCTAGCTGCTTCCCTCCTGGCCTTGTCATTTGAAAATATCCACTTCCCGGTCTCATTTCCTCCCACCTCATGGTGCAGCCCTAACCCCCTACCTGCCCTCCATGGATGAAAGTGAGCCCTTGCTAGTCCTCATTTGACTGAGACCTCTTGGCAGCATGTGGCACTGTGGACCACCCTGTCTTCCCTGGCTTCCAGGACCCTGCACTTGCCTGGTTCTCCTTCTACCCTCTCCCTCGCATACCATTTTGCTGCCTGGTTTCTTCTTCCTCCGCTGGCTCTCTTTTTAGACAGCAAGGCTCCTCCTCAGAATCTTTCCTGCCCTGCCTCTTACACACACTGCCTGCCTGATGGAACCTCCTCTCTATGCTCTTGAGGAGTCTGTGCCCTGCTCTCCATCCGCCACCCCCTTCTCTTTCTTGGACTTAAGCACCACCATCCTGGGGTCAGCCTTATCTTCAGGATGGAAATCCAAGTCTCAGAGCTTGGCACGTAAGGTCACTCTTGACCCCCTACATATCCTTCAGCTCTCACTCCCTCCACTCATACTCTGTACCAGTGGCCTCCAAAGTGGAGACAGACAGTACCCTGGGGTGCAGGGAGGACTTACTGGAATCTGTATCCCTAATTATTTTTACCTTTAAACAGTGCAGAATTAAACTTTGAATATCTGCATATAGATTGATAATAGTACATGAATAATATTTATTAATAAATTAGTGGAGGCAGTTGTACAGTCAGAATTGCTTGGCAACCACTGCACGGCATTATCTCTGGTCTTGCTGTGTAAGACCTGCCATGCCCTAGCATGGGATGCTCCTACACACCTTAGTACCCACTGCTTCCTCTGCTGTGTCAGGGTGATATTAGCTGTGAGCAATAGCATATTCAAACATGTAGCCGAAAGAAGCTACAAGTTTGTCTTTCTCTCATGTAAACTCAGTCTGGAGGTAAGCAGCTCAGGGATGGTATGGCAGCTCTAAACTCATCTGAGACCCAGACTCCTTGAACCCATGGTTTCCAGCTCATGGCCCAGGATGGCTGCTTGAGCTCCAGCCATAACATCAGCATTCCAACCAACAGAAAGAAAGGGTGAAGAGAGACATCCCCCACACACACACATTAAGGATACCTCTGATTATTAGAGATAAAGAATGACATTTATTAATGATGAAGAGTTTGATCCACCAGAAGGATATCACAACTCCAAATTTCTTTGCACTCTATAAAATATCTACAAAATATATGAAACAAAAATTAACAGTATTAAGCAAGGGATAGATAAATTCACAATCATAGTGGGAATCTGGAATATACCTTTTTCAATAGCCAATAGAACGTATCAGTAAGGATATAGAAGATGTAAAAAGTACAATTAACAAATTTTATCTAACTGACACATACAGAATTTGTACCCTATAATGACAGGATTCTCATTCTTTTCAAATGCCTGTGAAACATATATCAAAAAATGATCCTTGTAAGAAGTTGCCTATACCACTTCTTATATACCATTTACCGGCCAGCAGTGAATCCTCCTTGTAGCAGGACAGGAGGCTGGGAAATGTTGTCTGTTCCAGGTGACTAAGTATCTAACTAAAACTGAGAGGTTCTATTCTAACAAATACTAGGAGGACCAGCAGTCTCTGGTCCCTCCCCTTCCTCCTTTGCCCTGGTAGATCTCGTCCTGTGAGTACTGCACAGTGGGTAAAAGCTTGAGCCCAGAAGCAGAGATTCTTTATTCACCTCTAACTTTGTCATTTACTTGTTATGTGACTTTAGTTTAATTATTTAACCTGTCTAAACCTGATTATATTATGAAATGGGAATAACCCTATTTCATAAGGGTATTGGGAAGATGGACTGAAATCATGAGTGTAAAGCACTTAGTTCTGTGCCTGGCACATAGTAAGTGTTCCATAAATATTAGCTACATAGAGAGGTTAAATAACTTGCCCAAGGTCACACAGCCAGTAAAATGACAAAGCTAGCTTTCAGATCCAGTCATCTGGCTGCAGGCTGGTAGTGACACTTCTTTGGGGCCTCTGCCACCCCCAGCACAGGGCCCCACACGTGGTGTTGGGGAAAGGAGCACTGAATGGTGGAGAATAGGAAACTCAACTACAGATTAGCCATGTGACCTTAAAAAAGTCATTTTTAAATATGCATCTTAAATATGTAAAATTCCTCATTCTTTCTGCAGAAGATTGAATTAAGTGAGCCCAAAGGTTTCCCCTGACCCTGACATTTTGTGGTTCTATCTTCCCTACCACTAATGACCGAAATTTTACCATTAGAATGGTTTCTTTTCCTTAAGCCTTGTCTTCTGCCTGAAGTTCTTTTTAAAAGATACAATTTTCCTTTAGAGGGCAGGGTCCTGACTCTGTGGTTTGAGTAAGTGAATCAGGCCCCTTTGCCGCAAGTAGAGAGAAGGTTCTGGGGCAGAAGTCCAGTGGCCCTGCCTGGGAGGGGAGGGGTGTGCACAGGGAGAGAGACTGCAGACAGGAGTGGCCAGGCCCCACAAACTATGCCACTTGCTAAGGGCCTGCGGTGGCCCAGGAGACACTGCACCTGCTCTCTTGTCAGGACTGACTGCATGACCGAGAAATCGCTCCCGTTAGATCCCCTGGCCGACACCATCCACGGCCATATCTTACAGGCTTGCTTTTTTCCTCCTTCTGTATTTATTCTACCACCCTACCTCGAAAACTAAATTGGAGAAAAATGAGTTTTGTCTTTTTTTAACGAGAAGACTAGCAGTCTTAAATTGCCTTCTTCAAAGTCTGCAAATAGAAATCACAAATAAGTCAGCCACCTTGTCTTTTCCCTCTTCCTCTCTTCCTGTCTCAGTGAGCCCATGAGCTTGAAATAAGAGGCAGAACAGTGGCTCAGAGGAAATAACTGGGGCGCGGCCAAGCACCAGCCCAGGAGGCAAGAACAGGATGAAAGGAGGGCCCAATTGGGGGTTGGAAATAATGGAGGAAGAGATGGAAATGCTAAATCCCCCTGGCCCAGCCCATGTGTCTTCTCTGCAGGCCCAGCAGCCATCGTCCATTATAAGACTGAACAGGATGACTGGCTGATCATCTGCCTGAATAAGCATAAGCCGTGCCTCATTGCTTATGGTTCTGAAATAAAAGAGGTTCCCAAAATGGGGGTAATTTCTTAAAGACCAACTACTCTGTGAGTGTGGGTGTGCACGTTCCCGGGGCAAATGTAGCTCAAGAAGGGGAAACTACAAAGGCTTCAGACTTTCTGAGGTTCAGACAGAGAAGCAAACAAGATTACCAGGCACAGTAGGCCCTCTCTGCCTTTATCACCACCGTTGATGTCATACTTCCCAGAGAGTCCATCAGTGGGTGTCAGGACAAGAGATAGCATGGTGCTGGGGTAAAGACGGGAGTTTTAGGACTGGAGTCTTAGGCCATCACCCCAGTTCTATGACATGTAATAATGGGTAACATTGATTGAACACTTACTACATGCCAAGGACTATGTTAAACACTTCACATAGATTATTTCATTTAATCCTCAAAACAACCCTATGATGTATGTGTCATTATCCCCACTTACAGATGAGAATGCTGAGGGATGGGAGGTCACATAACTTGCCCAAAGTATCACACATCTTGTGACAGATCAGAGTGTGAACCCAGGGAGTCAGACTCCAGGGGCTCTTGTACTTCTTCCTGCCAAACCACCAGGCCTGTCTGGGCCTGCTTCCTCATCTGGAAAGTCAAGCTGCAGCAGCCAGGTCGGGTGGACTGGGTGATCACTGGGGCCCTTTCCAGCACAGGTGCTCTGCTCTGGGGTTCATGCCGCACCTGTGGATTCAGAGTCCTTTTCAAATGATGCAGAGTGCAAGTTTCCTATGCAAAGTAGTGATGCTGAATATGTGTGTGTGTGTGTGTGTGTGTGTGTGTGTGTAAGACAGGTAAACTTGTGTCCTGCAACCCTGATGAGACAGGACAAGAGATTAAGAATACAGTAGGACCAGCGCAAAGTCTGTGGGAGAATTGTAGGTTAGAGCTTTGTCAAGAGGACAAAACTGACATCTAAAGTTCTGGAAGATTCTGCCCCACTTCACCTCTATTTGATGTCCTTAGCAATTCCCAGATCTTTGCTCCATGCTACCCATGCATAGCCTCAAAGTCCCCTGGCAGATAGGTTAATGAGCCCTTCGAAGGGAACCTTGCCAAGATGCTCTGGCTCTGGGAGGGACAAGGTGGTTCTTGGTGATTCCCTGGCCCAGCATATGTGTCTTCTCTGCAGGCCCAGCAGCCATGGCCCACTATAAGACTGAGCAGGACGACTGGCTGATCGTCTACTTGAAGTACTTACTCTTTGTCTTCAACTTCTTCTTCTGGGTGAGTGAATTTTGCACACACATCCTCTTCCCAGAACACTGAATGAGTCAAGCCACCTTTTTTTTGTGTCACCACTTTGAGGTTGATATCTTCCAAATCAAAGATCAACGATCAACCATGGATGAACTCTTCCCACTTTAAAGCAAATATGTACATTTGCTACTGAGAAGGAAGAGAAGAATTGGGTCTGCAGGTTGGCATGGAGTTCGTACCACCTGGTATCTGAATAGAGGCACAAACATAACAATAAGCTTTGTGTTCCAGCCCTACTGTATGAAAGGTCCAGTTCTTTCTTCCCCACTAACTTGTTGCACCAGTGCCTTTTGGAAAATGTGACTGCCTGAAATAATAACTTGTTTTCCACTGAAGTCCATTCGCCTTTCATGGTTAACATTCTCCAGGCCCAGGGCAGAGAAACAGAAGTCCTGGAGGCTCCGACTACTGCTGCCTGTGATGAAAATGATCTCTATGGCGACTCCCCTCGGGAGCCTGTCTGGGTGAGGTCTTCCAGAGGGGTGTAGTCTGTCCACTTGAAGCAATCATCTGGGTAATTGGGAGCAGAATACCATCAGTTCCCGAAAATAGACACTGGAATGTATGTATTTGTTACGACAGTCTCACTAAATTTGAGAAGGTGACAAGAGTGCAGGCTTTGCAGGCAGCTGGACCCATGCTCTGCTGACTACTAATGGTGGAGCCTTGGGCAGGCTACTTAACCTCCAGGAATCTGTTTCCCCAGCTACAATTCAATGATAAATTCTAGCCTGTTGGGGATGCCTTCAATGAATGTAGTATTTTGAATATATTAGATGTCAAATGCCTAAAAATACCAGCCAATCAACCCATGATAAGGCATAGCTGGGCTTCCTGCTACCATGGTAAGGGAGAAGACACTTGACAGAGTCTTAGAAGCATCTCAGAAAGGCAAATGCAAAGGTGGGGGACATGTCTGAGTTTTCTGGGTCTTTCCTACAGGGGCTTGCTTACGATTGGAAAAGACCATGACGTGAGAGTTTAGGGTGGGTAGACATGGCAAGGCAAGAGTTCTGAAGAGTCTTGGAGAATAGACCAGTCATTAGATGCTATCTATTAAAAAGTTGTGCAGTCTGCTATTTGTTTAAATGTTTGCAAGTTCCTGAAAGGAATAATAAAATAATTTGTCACTTTTACCTTCCTGGGCGAGAGTTTCCTGCAATACTGAAGTCGTGACGAGGAAGATGGTGCAGTAATAAAGCTGTGTTGATATGGATAGGAAACTGTGTGGTAGAGATGGTTTCCATTCTGAGGGACAAATCCAATAGGGCGATAAAGATTCTTGCTAAGTAAGCATTTCTTTTTAAGAATAACTTCATTTCCTGATTATAAAAGTCTTATGTATCCACTACAGATAATCTCTAAAATATTAAAAAGTATCATAAAATGAAAATTGTTTTTATCTCACTATGTTCATTTCAAAGTGCCATAAACTGGATGGCTTTAAACAACAAAAATTTATTCCCTCACAGTTCCGGAGGCTAAAAGTCAGAAATCAAGGTGTCACAGGGCCAAGCTCCCTATGAGACTTGGGTAGAATCTTTCCTTGCCTCATCCCAGCTTCTGGTTGTGGGTGGCGATTCTTGGCACTCCTTGGCTTGTGGCTGCATCGCTACAGTCTCCAAAGCCTCTGTCATCACACACTGTTGTCCCTGTGTGTCTCTGTCTTCACATGACATTTTGTTCTTACAAGGACACCAGTCATGTTGGATTAGGACCCACCCTAATGACCTCATCTTAACTTGATTACATCTGTGAATATCATATTTCCAAATAAGGCCTCATACTCAGGTACCAAGGGTAAGGATTTCAACATATCTTTTGGGGGACCCAGTCCAACCCAAACCACTGGCCACCCCAGGAACAACCACTGTTGACATTCCCTCTAGACTTTGCTTTGATCAGGGCAGGAGATGGTGGTGACTTGCACTGTGGGAGTGTCAATGGGGATCTAAGTATTTGCAGAGAGTGAAGGGATTTAAAAGGTGAAATTGTCAAGATTGAGTCCTTAACCTAAAAAGGCATCTGGGACATGTGGATGGTGGATGGTAGAGCTCTTCATTGTAAACAAGAGACCAAGGTTCAACCTCAGTCTCCAATAGCGCTGGCTTTAAGACTTTTGGGATCATGTCCCATGTAAGATATACGTGGAAGCATAAGAAATAGTTATGTGAAACATTGTTCACCAAAGTAAGTTTACCCTTACGTTGCGTGATGCGCTCAGATGTTTTTTCTATTTTGATTATTTCCTTCTTTTTGTTTTTAGTGCAGCTTACAACCCACTAAACTTAATCACAACCCTAATGGGTCACATTCCAAAGTTTGAAAAATTCAGAGTCATCTTCACCTCCACCTGAACGAGGTCAGACTTCAGGTGGCAATCCTTCCCCACCACCCTGTGCCTCACTCCCGCCTCCCGCCCCGGCCTCCACCACCTAGAATTTCAGTTAAGCTGGTGTTGATTGGATGATCCTACAGAGCAGGGAAGGAACCAAAAATGCTGACACTTTCTTGCCTCCTTTGCAACCGTAAAAGAAAATGTGGTCCAGGGTTTCCTCTGGGGCCACCCAGGAGATGTGTTTCTTTCCCCTCCCTTTTCTTCCATGGCTCCCTACGGCTCCCATCGCCCCTGCAATGGTGTTCTCTAACTTATTATTTTATTCAGCTGCTTGGCTGTGTTAATAATCAAAACTTTTCTAGCCTCTCAGGCGCTCTGCCAGGCTATGGGGAGCACTGAGGAAGCAGCTGCTCCCTTGCCTGGAGAGGCTGCCTCTGCTCCACAAGCTGTGTCCCGCCCTTGAGCATTAGCTGAGGCCTTGGTATTTCCTCAGGGACCAGGGATACATGGGGCTAAGACAGGTAGCAGAGAAGACGGAGGACTCGAGCCCCAGCAGGGGAGTGAGATGACTTGAGAACATCACTTCGGGAGTCAGGGAGGCCGTGGGAGGGAAGCACCTTCTGCCGAGGCTCAAAGCCCTTCTCTTGGTACATCGACATCCCACCGAATGTGGCCACTGCCCACTGTCCAGGCTTGCCATCTAAGAAAGAACAGGTGATGGCTTTTCTGCTACACCCCTTCTTGAGATGCTGAATGGCCTGGGACCACTGTCCACCCACCCCCCCCCCCCCCCCCCCACGGTCTTCTGCCCCACTGTGCTGTCAGGATCTGCTGGGAGACAGAGTCACAGTTGAGGGGGATGTGCACTTGGTCTGCACAGCGCCATGGCAGATGAGGCAAGTCAGGACGAAGCCTAGGGTAACCCCTTCTAGCTGCTCTGCTGTAGCTCAGGACTCTAGGCCTGCTGTAGCCCAGACACCAGTGACTTGCTTCCCAGGCCAAGCAGCTTCGTTGTGGGTCAGCAGCCCAGTTGGTTACACGGGCACTAAACTGAGCATTAGGATTCTTAATTTCTGCTCTCCACACTTCCTTTGGCCTTCTTGTGGGACTGTGGAAAAGTCACTTCTCTCCAGGCCTTGGTTTCTCCATCCAGAATATAAAAGGGGTTGAAATCAATCAGTCCCTTCCTCCCTCCCTCCCTTCCTCCCCTGCTTCCTTTTGTCCTCCTGTCCTCCCTTCCTCCCTCCCTCCCTCCCTCCCTTCCTTCTTTCCTTCCTTCCTTCCATCCATGTGTAGCCCTCTGCTAGGGATATTAAGATGAACGAGATTTAATCAAGAGGCTAAAAGAGGAGGCACACAAGGTATCCAATAAAATAAATAGACTATGAGTGTAATTATAGAAACATGTGCAAGACATGGAGTTGGTACAGAGGACAGAATGATTTGCTGGGAGATGGGGCAGGGACAGCTCCAAGGAAGGTTTCCTCTGGGCTCTGAGCTGGGTTTGGAAGATGAACAGATGATCACATGTTCCCTCCCAGCTCCACCCTTCAGTAAGACTCATGAGATTTTGCTCTTGTTATAGGGGTAGATGGGAGTGAGGAAGACAGCAGAGGAGGTAGTGTTCTGAGGTTAAAGGCAGAGAGCCAAAAACAAGGATGCCTCAAAGTGGAAAATAGCCCTTAGCATGACAAGCCTATCCTTGAAGATTCCATAAGCCAAGGCAGCAGGAGCATGGGCAGAGCCAGAGAGAAATGCATGCCTGGCGCTCAGAGAAGGTCGTTCATGAGGAGGGTGAGCAGCAGCACCTGATGCATGCTTTTGTGTGCCCTCCTGGAGAGCTCGGCAGCTCAGGCGTGGGACTGGGGTGCCTGCCTGCGTGTGGGCATAGGGCTCAGCTGTGCTGTATCAGGACTGCAGCCCAGGGTTCAGCTGACTCTTCTGATGTGGGAATGGGAAACCGTTCTTTAAAAGAAGTTGAGTCTTGTTCAGACCTGGTCTCCCAGTCCTCTCCCTGAGCCCCCACGCTGTGTTTGCTCCCCATATTAGACCCATTCACTTCTCCTTCATAGCACCCTGGTGATTACTAAGTCAGGTCTTTCAACCCAGTGTCCTACAAGTGATCCTGGGGCAGGGGCAGTGGCAGTGTCAGGCATGGGCCCCACGATGGCCCAAGAGCCTGGCATCATCATAGCAGGTGCACAGCGGGTATTGGTTGAAAGAAGGAATGAGAGTAACCAAGCATCAGTCTGACCTTAAGATACCTAGGGCGCAACCCCAGCCTTTCCAGGAGCTTCTTCTTAATGACCCAGAGAAAAACCCATTCCTCACTGGGACTGCTGGGACTTTGTAGACTGCCCCTTTGAAAATCAAAACAGCCATAAAGCAGGAAAGAGAAACACTAGCTGTTGCCCTAGGAGCTCAGCAGACAGAGGCAGGTAGGGGAGCAGGTGCCATTTCCACAGCCCTCTGCAGAGCCCCATCCACTGAGTCCCACACTCACTGGGGCGGCTCCCGGGTGCCAGGCCGTGTGCTGGGCTGTGTTCTGAGGGGAGTGAGGGGCCCCCTGCCCCAAGTGCCGAGGGCTGCTGTGAAGTGAGCAGCACCGCAGGCTTGCAGGAGAGGGATGAACTCACCTGGCCAGGACAGTCAGAGCAGGTGCCACACTCAAAATCTCAAAATGGGCCTTAGAGGGTGTGTAGGAGTTCGATGGAAGAGGAAGGGCAGAGAGAACAATGTGTGAAAGGTGGGCAGGAATAAGAGCCTCCCTGAGGCCCACAGAGGCTGCCTTGCTTATCCAAATCCACACAGCCAGTAAACAGAGGGGCTTGGACTCAGACACCGCGCCACGTCCCAGAGTTCACCCTGTTTACCACTCTGCTAATAGTGCCTGAGTTACTAGGTAACCACACTGTTTTCAGGAAAAAGCAACTACTTAGTTCAAAGTGATTAAAACCCAGGGAAAAAAAAATACAAAAATTAGCCAGGCGTGGTGGCACGCCCCTGTAATCCTAGCTACTCAGGAGGCTGAGGCAGGAGAATCGCTTGAACCTGGGAGGCAGAAGTTGCAGTGAGCCGAGATCGCGCCATTGCACTCCAGCCTGGGTGACCGAGGAAGACTTCGCCTCAAAAACAAAAACAAAAAAAACCCAGGTGTGGGGGAAAGAAAATACCAGAAGATGATGCCAAAAAGTCAGGTTAAGGCCAGACAGTAAGAGCCCCGAGGCCATGTGAAAGAGTTTTTGGGCTTGGTGCCCTGGGTGTGGGAGCTGGTGGGGACTTCTCAGCCGGGGGTGCCTTGGGGGATCAGCCTGTGGGTAGAGCAGGAGTCAGGAGCCGGCAGCCGACTGTGGTGGGGAACCAAGTTGCTCAGTGTGGCAGGGAAATGAAGACAGGTTTGAGGGCAGAGGGGAATTGGCACATGGTTGTCGTTGAGAGGAGGAGGAGCCTATAGTGACCCTGCGGTGTCTGGGGTTGGTAAGTGATGGCACCACGGATGAGACTGAGCAGGGAGGAGGAGCACAGATGATGAGTGTGGTTCCCATGGGTGAGCTCCTGTCCAACCCCGAAGGCTTTTCAGTCCCGTGTGGGGCTTGGCATGTAGCAGGCGGCCAGTAAACACAGAGTCTGCTATCGCCCTGTGCACTTCCCGTCACCCTGTGCATTTCCCGCGTCCTGAGCCATGGGCTCCTCCTCACTGAGGGTGGAGAACTCCCCTGCCCAGAGGATCCTTCCTTATTGGGATTCAAGTGGTCCTGGCTCCTGCCCCATCCCTTTCCTTCCCTCATTGTGGAAGCCCTGTGGTAGCAAGACGCAAAGAAAAACGCCTACAATTACTTTTATACCCTCTGCCTGCTTTCCTCCAGGTCTGCTGCCTTATTTCTCTCAGCCCTCAGGCATGTGCAGCCACTCAGGTTAATGCTTCACCCCATCATGTTTCTTTCCTATGAATGGAAAGTTCCTAAAATTACACAGCAGGGGTGGCCTGCTCCGCCCCTCCTGGCCAGCTTGCATCGTCATTGCCTGGCTTCACCCTCTGCAGGGCTTGCCGGCGAGTCAGCCACAGGCTATGGCTTTGAAAAATGTAGTTATTGCCTAGGCCTGGTGTCTCACGCCTGTAATCCCAACACTTTGGGAGGCCAAGGCGGGTGGATCACCTGAGGTCAGGAGTTCGAGACCAGCATGACTAACTTGGTGAAACCCTGTTTCTACTAAAAATGCAAAAATTAGCCGGGTGTGGTGGTGCATGCCTGTAATCCCAGCTGCTCAGAAGGCTGAGGTGGGAGAATTGCTTGAACCTGGGAAGTGGAGGTTGCAGTGAGCCGAGATCGCACCACTGCACTCCAGGCTGGGCGACAGAGCAATTAAAAAAAAAAAAAAAAAGAAAAGAAAAGGAAAATGTAGTTATTACCCTCACGGAATACCACACCAGTTTCTGTAAAGAGCCAAATACTGTTGAATCACCTGTATGCCAATGGTTGTTGAATAGTTCAGTGGTGTCAGATCTTTCCCCACCCCATCAGTCCCTCTTCCTGCCTCTTCTGCTGCTCTCTGCTGGCTTAGGCAGTTTCCAGGTGGCTTGAGTGACAGCCAGGAGCCACTGGTTCAGAACCATCTTTGGAGGTTCTTTGGCAGAAGCTTGACCTCCAGTACTAGGAGGGGCAGTTTAACCATGTGGAAGGGACCTCAGAGATATTCCCATCCAGTGCCCCCAGTTTACAGATGAAGAAACTGAGGCTTAGAGCGGCTGCATGTGGTTAGTCAGGCGCACAGTCAGAACTAGAACCCAGGCTGCTGACTTCTGTCCTCCCGTGACCCCCTCTGGTGACCCATCCAACAGTGAGCAGTGTTCATTTTCCTGTCCAGAGAAAAGCTTGTTTTCTAAAGAGATGACCATGTCCCAAGCAGGTCTTCCGAAGGAATGAAACCTTCTCATTCCTTACAGCTAAGCCTAAGGACTGCGGGGGTTAGTGGGTGGAGGCCCTCAAAACATTAGATCCTGGGAAAAGCAATCAAACGGCTTCCCAGTAGTTATAGGCTGGGAACCACCTAGATAAGCCGGGGAGAGGGGTGGAGGCCCTCAAAACGTTGGATCCATGGGGAAAAGTAATCAAAGGGGTTCTTAGTAGTTGTAGGTTGGGAACCACTGGTCTAATACATCCCTTATTTAGGAGATGAAGAAGCTGAGGTCCAGAGAGGTTAAGGGACTATGTTGAGGTCACACTGCTAGTTATGCAAAGTTGGGACCCTCACCCAAGCCTTCCAGGCGTGCTGAAGGGGGCAAAAAGAATTCCATGCAGGATATTTGGCTGCAAACCTCACTTTACACAATTTTGTTGACCCAAATTCAGGAAATCCCTCACTGGTCATGGAGGTTGTGTGAGCCACAGATAACCTATACCCACAGAGAATTTTAAAACCTATTCTAGGATTTCACTGAAGCTAAGATATCATCAGTGGTAAGATACACTATTTGTTTTTTTGTACCACTAAGAAAAACTGCCAAGTATAATTATAAAATACCATCAGTCATAAGATACATCCCAATTTTAGAGATGTTAAAATGTGAGAGAAAAATGTGTGCATCATGGAATTGAAGAAATCTGCGTGATAGCCACTCCCATTCTGTTTGCTGTAGCCCAGATGGTGTCCTTCCGCCTGGCTCTTTCACCTGGTGGAGGTGCCAGTGGAGATCAAATGGCACTTTGAAGAAATAGTATCTGTTACAAACGGAGAAGTAGAGGAGCAGGCCCAGCCCAGTCTGTGGGATCTGGGTAGAGTCGTGGATTTGCTCTCTCAGGAGACGTGGGTTTGAATCTCAGTTCTGAAACTCTAATGGTGTCGTCTTGGGCACATTCTTATTCTCTTCAAGCCTCAATTTCCTCATCTGCACAATGCAGAATATGTGCCCTGCCACCCTGCCACGTGCCCACAGAACTGTTGCAAAGCTCAGAAGAGAAAATGGTAAATATGTGTTTGTTAGATCCACAAATGTCTGTGAATGCCCAGAAGGAGAACTGGGAAATGACAGGGTAGGTTGTGTGGAGTCTTCCTGGGGCAGATGGGGAGCTCCTCTCGGCAACAAGGCTCAGGGGGCATGGACAGGGCCCAGGGCACTTCTCTAGCTTTGACCACACCCAGGACCCCTTGAGGAAGCATTCCTCACCCATTAGAGGAAAGAGACCCATCCTTAAATGGGAGCAGGGAGACTAGCCGGCAGAAGTCCATCTTCCCAGGAGCAGATGGCAGAGACAGTCAGAGGTCCCAGGGGTTCTGTCCCCAAATCCTGGGCAAACACCCTCGTACTCCCCACCTGGCACGCTGAAGATGCTGTGCATGTGTGCATACACACACATTATGCCCTGCTGGGTCCAACAGTCACAGAAGGCGTAACTTGGCTTCATTGCAAATAGAATCAGCCAAGCCGAGCCATCCCTGCCCTATTTCCCAACTCCAGTTTCTAAGGAGGCGTCCCCCCATCTGCAAGTCAGGAGGGTCCTATCTATCCCTCCCTTCTTCTCCGGACCAAAGGAGAATCAGACAGTTAGCAAAAAAGTTTCTCCTCCTGCAGTCCCAGGCGGCTCCAGCCTGTCAAGCACCCTGACTCGTCAATCATGGAGGCAGCGTGACTGAGTGGGCAGGCCCTGGGCTCTGAGTTCTCGTCCTGCCTCTGCCCCTACCCCTGCCCCCAACTAGAGGCAGGACCTCGGGCAATTTACCTTTCCTCCATGGGTCTCAGTTTCTTCCTATGTATAGTAGGGATAAAAAGCCCAGCTGTGCTTCCCAAATGGGCAAACATAAGGATTAAACAAGGGGCAGTGCTGGAACAAGCCCCGCCGGGGAAGTGTGGACAGAGGGAAGGAGTGCTTTGAGGGGAGAGGAACCAAGGGTGGCAGGAGTTGGGGAGGTGAAAAGTCGGGGAGGCAGAGGGACTCAGATACGTTGGTCATCGCTGAAACTGCAGTCCTCTCCCCCGGCCTCATATGCAGTAGGCCACCACGGTAAAAAGCACCGAATTCACAGTCGGACCTGGATTCCATACCTGGCTCTACAGGCTGCTTACCTTGGACAAGTCTCCTAACCTCCCTCAGCCTCGATTTCCTCATCTATAAAATTGAGTAACCATACCATTCTCGCCTCCTGTGGAGGAATGAGTGAGCCAGTGCAAAAGAAGTGCCTGGCGTCCTGTGGGCATTAAATAAATGGCAGCTGCTGAGGCCCCCACCACCCGCTGCTCTAACCCAGTGGTCTCCTGCAGGTCGGGGGAGCAGCCGTCCTGGCTGTGGGCATCTGGACCCTGGTGGAGAAGAGTGGCTACCTCAGCGTCCTGGCCTCCAGCACCTTTGCCGCCTCCGCCTACATCCTCATCTTTGCGGGCGCACTTGTCATGGTGACCGGCTTCCTGGGCTTCGGTGCCATCCTCCGGGAGCAGAAGGGCTGCCTCTCCACGGTCAGTGCCCACCCCGTGCTTGGCAGGGAGGGGGAGCCCTGCACCACCCAGTCAGGTTTCCAGCAAGCGAGAGGGGCCCCAGCCCTGGAGTGGGAGGGGCTGAGGCTGTGGGAGAGCCAGAGAGGGGGTGGCTGCTCCTGGGTCTGGTGTTTGCCACAGTCTCCAGGTTCTTAGGACCCAAGCAAGCAGGGCCGTCTCAGTAGCTGCAGTGGCAGCTCCTTCTCCACATCTCCATCTCTGTCTCCTTCTCCCACTCCCCTTCTGCCTCCTCCTCCATTTCTTCTTCTCCTCTTCTTCCTGCTCCTCTCCTTCTTCCCCTCCTCTCTACCCTTCCCCTCATCCTTATCCCTTTTCCTTCTCATTCTCTTTCTCCTCCTACTTGCCCTTCTCCCCTTCCTCTCCCTCCTTCCTCCTCTTCCTCCTCCTCTTCCCCTTCCTCCTTCTAGGTTTCATTATGGCAGTTTTCAAAGATATACAGAAATAACGAGTGTTTTTCATGAAGCTCTGTCTTCCCTTCACCCAAAGTTCAACAGTTACCATCTCATAGCCGATCTTGGTTCCATCCACTCTCTCACCTGCATCCTGCCCACTTCCTAACCCCAGGGTGGTTCTGAAACAGTCCCAGACAGCATGTCATCTGTTAGTGTTTCAGTGTGTACCTCTAAAACTTCAGGACCCTCTTCTAGAAAACGTGATAACATTACCATTATCACACTTTAAAACAATTAACTGTCATTCCTTAATATCATGAAATACCCAGGCAGCTTCACATCTTCCCAATGGAACCATAAGCTGTCGTTGTGTTTACATTTGAGTTAGAATCTAAATTAGGCTCAAGTGTTAAAACTGGTTGCTTATCTCCTAAGTCTCCTAAAGTGAAGGCCCCCAGAGTTTGGATTTTGAGCTATTTTCCAGCAGGTGGGACATGTGTGCTGAGAGCCAGCCACGCCACCACCCACCCCCACATGGGGCCTACCATGAGGATTTCCAGCAGGGCAATGCAGGTCGGTCAGCTGAGGTCCTTGAGAGCCACGTAGCCCATCCCAGATCTGACCAACGTAGCTGGATGAAGGCACGTGACGTGACTGACTAAAACCAGGCATGTAGGGTGTCTAGGGATATTCCCTGTGGGTGGCACTGACTAGCCATGAGGTTTACAGGGATCAGTGCAGTTGGGCCCAGAGAGAGAAGCCCTCTTCTCTGCAGTGTCAGCAAGCCTGTTTGTATCCTGTCTGGCTCTGCACCCCTTAGCAAGTAGGGCCTTCAGCCTGGCCTCAGGCTTCAGGCTGGGCCTCTGGACCTCAGGCCTGGAGGTCTGCCCATGAGCAGGCTGCTAAGCTGCGTGCCCTCACCTGCCTCCTTCCTTCCGTTAGGTCATCTAGTTCAGAGAGGACAGGACTCACCTCTGGACAGCTCGAGAAGGAATGCAGAAGCCCCCACCGAGCACCTTCCTTCTGACCCAGAGCCATCTGTCCTGGTTCTATAGAGCCACTAAAGGCCAGTGCTCCTCTGCAGCACTGGGAAACAGGCCCTGCATTCCTCCCTGAGCCCAATTGGAACACAAATGGCCACTATTTACTAGAGCCCCCTCCCAGTATCCTCACTACAGCAACCTGCAAAGTCCCGGTAATCTGAACTCTGTGCCAAGCAAGTGCTGTGCTCAACACTCATGCGCATCAACTCACTCAGTCCTCGCCCTGCCCCAAAGAGCAGCAACTCTTACTCTGTGTATGGACGGGGAAGAAACAGCAGAGGCAGGTGAAGCGGTTTGCCAGAGTCACCTGGCAGTTGTGTTCTTTTAGGTGATGGTCAGTCAGGTGTGGCCACAAGAGGGGGCACAGGAGAGGCACAGGACAACAGAGTTTACCAGATTCATAGGTCCTAGACCGAGCCTGTCCAACCCGTAGCCCACGGGCCGCCTGCAGCCCAGGACAGCTTTGAATGCAGCCCAATACAAATCCGTAAACTTTCTCAAAACATGAGACTTTTTTGTGCTTTTATTTTTCTTAGTTCATCAGCTATCATTAGTGTGTTTTATGTGTGGACCAGGGAAGCCAAAAGATCAGACACCCTGTCCTAGACAGATTCACTGCACACTCCACCAGGAGTGGGGTAGGGGGTCACACGGGTGGAGAACTAGGGCTCCCCAAGCAGGCAGGGAACAGAGAGTGAGTGAGACCCTTTCACTGGGGGTCAGGATGGCACCATCAGAAAAGGCAGGAGGGGATTCCAATGGTGCATTTGAATATCATTAGATCACAGTCAGGGGAGGGTAGCAAGGGGAACCTGTAGCAGGGCCAGCCCTGGTGTATCTGCTCACCCCAGCAGGTGCGCACAGCCCGCATGTAGGGATGTGGAGGCAGAAGAAATGCAGAGTTTTAAAATGCATGATACACACTGCTGGTGAGCGGCATGTGGTCTGCCTCCAAGCCCACGCTGTCACCCACCTCACTCTTCTGCATCCAAAGAGGTCATATTCACTCCCATTTTCCAGATGACGAAACTGGGCTGAGATGTGGAGCAAATAATGCCTGGAGCTGGACTGTGCATTACAATCTGTTGAAATCACCTCTGAGAGTCTGCTTCCCTGGGGAGGACAAGCCTGATGGGAGGCAGAGGGACCAGAGGCCAAGGGGGAGGATGTGTGCAGGGCACACCCTGCCCTCCATCTCTGGAGAGGTCTTCATGGAACAGTGGCTTTCAGAGATCTGGTTGGTAACAAGGGAGGGCTCCTTGCAGCACCTAGCCCAGAACCCTAGGGCAAGATATGGGGGTATGGTGGGGGGACCCTAGAAGCCTCAGGTATCTCAGTGCCTCCTTGCTCCCATTATAGTAAGGAAAGAACGGCACACCTGGGTCAGAGCATATTCAGTTTAGAAGGGACCTTGAGGGTCACAGAGTCCAGTGCTCCATCCAAAGGTTACAGGCTGAACGACAGTGTCTGGGTGAGTGTGTGGGTCACCCAGGCATTAGTGGGAGACACTCAGAATTATTGGAGTTTTTGGAGACTAGTGTAATCATAGGAGCTCTTCTCCTTGGCCATCTCAAAGGCCAGAAGGGAAGCCTGAGCTTTAGCACCTGACCACGCTGCGCTCTCCAAGCCACTGATCACAGCCTCCCATTCCACGCTTCCTCTCACACCATCCATTCATGAGATCTGTCCAGACATCCAGGCTGATCCATGAAGAATGAATGTCTCCAGCCTCTGCATCTCAACCTGGCTGTCACTGAGTCTAGACGGCCTGCCCAGAGGGAACCAAGCCCTGTGCCTGGGCCATGCAGGAGAGAGGTGGAGAGTCAGTGAAGGTCAGGGTCTTGTGTTTGCCTAAAGGCTTGCTGGGCACCTCTTGCCCTACCCTTCTGCACTTCAGGGAGTCAACAAAGTGAGCCTTATCCCTCTGGGGCTTGAGGCAGGGAGGGGTACAGCAGCTGTTGGACAGGCTGGTGCAAGATTCCCTGCTTCTTCTCAGCTCCACTTTACCCTCTTCTGTAGAGACTTGTCTGCGTTCACTCCCATCCCACACAGTACTGGCGATCTCTCTGGTCCAAGTCACTAAACAGACACATCAGGGAGGCAACAGCTTGAAACTGAGGTCAGAAAAAAGTGTGCACGCACACACACACATGCATATGCACGCACACATGCACTCAGCCACCAATGCAGGACTGTGGAGACAGGCATCTCTGCCAGGGCACTAGCAAACAGCAAACTCCATGGCTGAGAAAGCTTTCTTTGCTTTGTCTACTCCTCTGAAAGAACCAGTGACAGAACTGGCCCAAGGACAGAGCGAGAGGTAAAGCTGGGGATCCTGAGTAATTCACATCCTGGCCCAACAGGCCCTGAAACATCGAGCACTTGGTTGTTTAAACCAAGAAGGTGGCTGTACAACCTTTCTTGGGCTAACACAAGTGGGAATTTTAAAACCCAGGCTCCTGTTTTAGAGTCACGTGGTGTGGTTAAGGCAGTGTAAAAGTGCTCCATGCCTCTCAGCCGTTCCTTTCTGGTTCCGTTTCATTTTGTCCCCTCCATGTCTCACTTCCATGTGAAATCTTGAATCAGCTGACAGGTGAGGGAAGCTCCAGAGGAGAAGGGCAGCGAGTCTATCACTGGACAATGTGGTCCCTGAGGAGGAGAGGGAAAGATGAAAGGCCGGGCATCTGAATGACATGCGTCTACCTCGGATCGGGAGGAGCGTGGGAGAAGTTCCCAAGGAATGACCCAGAGGGCGACCATCCAGCTTCCACACAGGCACGAAGTCCGTCCTGGCACAGCCCTTTCTCCTCACTCACCTGCAGCCCCTCAAGGTCACTTTCCCAAGAAGGAAGTGGCCGTCGGGGACGGAAATAGCACATCTCTGCCAGTGCTGAAATGATGATCAGCTTGGCACCGGAAATCTGCCGAGCAGGAACAGGAGCGGGGCTTCAATTATTCACACCAGATCTTTTTTAGCAAAGACTGCATGAGAGAGATCATTCAGGCCGTCTGAGCCTGGGGCCAAACACCAGGACGGAGGCCACCCAGATCAAAAGAGAGGGATATTTTTAGAGTTTTGAATGGAGGCTCTGAAAACTTCTATATTTTAAGCCAAATGAAGATCACGGTGGATGATTCACACTAAACTGGGTCTTTACTGGGCGTCCTTTTCTGTTTGGGGGATGGATTAAAAAGTAAGAAGTTCTAAAAACCAATTTCTGAAAACAAGGGGATCCAGAATTGCCACACCTCCACCAAATAGGCCAAGACTTGGTCAACCAGGGCCCTAAAGTCCACAATCAGAGGTGAAAATATATGGGCTCGGGTTCAAAAGCTGGTGTCCGTGTACCTTGCCCAGCTTGCTCTGGGACCTCGGGTAAGTCACTCAGCTTCTGCCTGCCTCCTTGTGTTGCCATTTTATACAGGACGATGTGTGAGGTTCATGAAGAAGTATTTTCAGGTCTTAGGAAGTGAATCACCACATTATAAAAAGACAGTAAAAATGTGGCTCTGATGAACATCCGCA